TCTGTGAGGCTGTCCTGGTCTTGCACCTGCCTCCATCCTCCTGCCCCCCAGGAGGGGCTGGGGCTCTCTGGGAGTGTCTGTCTGTGCACGTGTCCCTGGCAGTAACCAGCGAGTATTATAATCACAATTCCGGCGGGAAACAAGAGCCCGCGCCCTGCAAGGGTGCTGTCTCGCCCTCTTGGGTCTCAGCGCTGCGCTGGTGCCTGCCACGCTGACTGGGCGGGCGCCCAGGACTGGGCGCCACTCGAGGGGCTGGCAGGACGTCCGGTGGGGTGCGGGACAGACCTGCTTTCTGCTTCATAGATGGGACCAAGCTGAGCGTTCAGGTTACCAGATGGAGCCAGCGGGAGCAGGAGAGAGACCAGAAGCCTCTTGTCAAAGAGGAAACCATAGAGCACGAGCGGCAGTTAAAGGTTGCAGTGCTGTAGGCTTTCTCCCAAAGATGAGGAGATGGGGCCCAGGGAAGGGAAAGGGGGTGCCTGAGGCCACCTGGCAGCAGTTGGACCTCACCCAGAAACTTGGACTGCCTGACTTTCTGGCTAATGGTTGTTTCAGTGAAACTTCTCCTGATCTTTACCCCCGGGAGTGGTATTATCAAATTTTACTACCTCTCCCACAGACCACGCCTCAGACCCAGGAGAAGGCAGGCCAGGGAGGGGCCTGCCTCTGCGGGATAGTTCTGGGCCAACCCAGAGACTGCCACCCTCCCCGCGCCTGTCCTTCATCCTTTGTCCCTTCCTCACCCACGTGCAGTAGGGGTGGGCTTATGAAGTGACCAGACGAGAAGTCCCACTTACCCCTAGTGTTATGGTCTTCTTATTTATGAGTCTCTTGGGATCAATTGTAAGAACTGACCCAAATGCCATGCTGCTCTGCTGGCTCTGGTTGGAGGGGTTCACTGGGGGATTCTGCAGGCTCCCAGGCTGGGTCTGGAGGTTCCTGGCTCCCAAAGAGCCCTGGAACCCTCCCGCTGGAGGCTGGAGCCCAGGGTGCTGACTCTGTGCCACCATGAGTGGGGGCTGGAAGTTCATCCTTCCCGCTTTCTGCTCAGTCATGCCCGAGGTTGAGTAAATGTTCATCCCCACAGGCTGCCCATGGCTTCCAGAAGGTTGGGAGCTCCCGGGCTGGGAGACATAGACATTCTCTGGGGCAATGCCAGCAGGCACACTGTTGGCCCCAATCTCCTGCGTGGCCATGGCGGACAGCTCCTGGAAAACACGCAAGAGAGTGCATTTCCCTCCTCTGTCACGGGACTAGTGCGTCTCACCCCACTCTCCAGTCTGTTTCATTAAATAAAAACCACCTAGCATGATAGACAAAATAACCCACATTATTGGGAGAGAGTTTTCTTTTTATGTGAGCCTAGTTTTCCTGAGACTGCAAAGCTCTTTGCTTACAGGGCTTTGTGTAGGGGCCTGTCTGTCATTGCCTTGAGTTTCCTGAGTAACGGAGGCTACCTTGCCAACCTGCCCCTGCACTGGCCACAGCGGACGGATCTGGGGGTGGGCAGCTGACCCCAATGGGGCTGATAACTTCTTTCTCCTGGGAACTTAAGAGTTGGACCACTGTGGGGTGGGGGGCTGCGCAGACCCGGAGGGGTTTACATCATGTGCAGGGGGAGTAGAGGCCATCAGTTGGCTCTCCTTATGGCTAACCCTTAACTTGCTCCAGCTGCTTTTCTAGAAAATTTGGAAAAACTGACTACATTTTAACCCTAAAAAAAAGCCTCTGCTTTTTTTTTTTTTTTTTTTTTCTGAGCAACATCAGAAACAAACATCTGCTGATCACTGAGAAAATTTCCTGTACCTGGACTCCTGCCACCCTGGAATGACCAACCAGCCACCCTCCCCCCCCCACCCCCAGCCTGAAATGCAGAGCTTCGCTGCAGAGCTTCACATCTCCCTCTCATTCCGCGCCTCCCCATCCCTCACAGCGACTCCATCTTTCAGGGAGTGGGCACTGAATGGAACCCCTTGTGTTGGGAAGGACGGTCCATTGACTCAGACTGGCTGTCTGGGAGCCGGGGCAAGCCCCGGTTTGCTCACTGACAGGGAGAGCCCAGTGCAGAGCCTGGGCTGCAGCCGCTGACTACGGGATCACTTGGAATGAGGCAAGGGAGGGTCCTTCTTTGTGACTTCCCTGCGCTGACCACTGACCTCAGGTGTGAAATGGGCGGGGCAGGCCGGAAGCCTTGGTACACCCAAGGTGCAGGGAAGTGGGAAGAGATTGTAACAGGACGGCCCCCAAAAGCCAGGGGGTGGCTGCCTTCGTCTGGTCTCCACTGGCAGTTTACACGCTCCTCCCTCACACCCAGGGCCCCCAAACTGTCAACTGGGATTTGGTTCTGGTGGGTAGATCAACACGATTTAATACTAATCAGCTGGAAAAAGAACTTAAAAGCCAGATGGCCCCTGGGCTAAGCTCATATGACCCCAGGGCCCCTCTCCCTGAGTTACCAGGCCAAGAGCAAGGGTCTGTGGCCTCAATTTCCTTATCAAAAGGTAAATGATAATGGCACCTTCTCAAAGGGTGTTATGGAAATGAAGTGAGGAAGCTTCCACACTGAGGTGTGAGGCTGGGGTGGAAGAACTGAAGTTTCTCCCTCTGAAGAGAGAAGGGGCCTCCCTGGTGGCACAGTGGGCTCAAGGGCAGAGCTATGAAGTTCCCGCAGCCACTGCAGCGAGGCTCAGAGTCCCCGACCTCTCCTGGCTCCCCGCTGCTCCCCTCAGCAGCGCACTTCCCAATCTGCCTGTTCTGCTCCCCACTTTGTCTCTGGCGAATCCTCTCACCGCCCCTGCACCTCTGGCCTGTACCCCAGTTCTGTGTGCATAAATAAATAAATCTTTTAAAAAAATTAAAAAGCCAGATCTTGCAGCTACCAGATCTCAAACAGCTGATTTTGTTTCCATTCAGACTCAATGGCAGCGGATCTCAAAGCGGGATCTCTGGGCCAGCAGTATGCAGAGACTCTGAGGGTCTCACTGAAGATGGGGTTCAAGGTCTCCTTCCAGACCCCAGGGAATGGGGGCATGTGGGTCTTCACGAGCTTTCCGAGTGGATCTGTTCCACAGGAACCTGCTTCTCTTGGTGGTTTCGCTTCTCTCCCCTTGAGCCCTGACAGTTGAGCACACTGGCTGTGGAGAACTGGCGGTAAACCCACGATTTCTCCTTATTTTCCTTATTTTAAGGTTTCCAGGGGCTTTTCCAGCTCTTCCAAAAGGATAATGATTGGTGGCCCCTTGAAGGTCCTTTCCTGTTTCTGCTTACCCGCTAGGGATGAAGGGTTTGCAAGCCTGAGGCAGGAGGACAAAAGCACCTCCCCTCTCACTTCAGTGGTGCAAAGCCAGAGTTTTCCTGACTTGGCAAGGTGTTTCAGAGCTCCCAGGCCCTGAAGGGTGTTCACTGTTTTCAAGGTCACTTCTCACCACCTGATCTGAAAAAGTAGCCATGGGAAGTAGACCAGCGATGCCCAGATCATGGTTAGATGAGAACATGCAGAATCGGGGGGTGGGGGGTGGGAAGGGGGGGTGCTCGGCTTTGCTGCAGCTCTGAACCCAGTGTGAGCTGAGAACCTGCCAGGATCTACCCGAGTGCATTTTAATACTTTCGTACCTCAATCCATACATCCCAGAGCCCTGTCCTGGGGAGACAGAGTGGGCCAGGCCTTCCCTCGGCCCTTGCCAGGCTCTTTCCTTTCTCACAAGCTGGTGGCCGGGCTGTTGGCTCCCATGTCCTGGACAGCGGCCCGCGCTCAGCCACCCCTGAGCAGCAAGGCTCTGCCCCCGCCCTGCCCTGCCCTCCCTGAGGGAGACGGAGGCTCTGAAGCTGGGGTGGTTCATCTGTGTCTACCTGACTCACAGCGCAGCTCTGGGGCTCAGTTCTTTCTGCGGATTCTCTTCATTTCCTGAAGGGCACCCCTGGCACAGGCAGCTGAGTCCTGTGACGGGCCCTCCTCAGGCCCCTTCAGTGCCAGCTCCGTCGGGAGCAGAGGGAGACGGTGCTGTCTGAAGACTTTCTACCGGTTCTAGACCTAGGTCTGAGGTAACCCTAACCACAGGGCATCCTACAGCGAGGCTCAGGAGGGAGCCTGCGAGCTTCAGACCCTGGCCTTGCAGCGCTCCGACCAGTTTGAGGCGCCTGTTGGGGGCCTTCAGCTGCCTGCCCAGTCAGCTCTGCAGCCCCGAGGGTAGGCGCTGTTCTGTGTCTTGCTGGAGTGCACTAGTTTCAAGTGCTTTTATACAAAAGCAGTAAGTGAACCCTGCCTTTTTGGAGACAGTTCCCAGGGCCAGGCAAACCCGTGTCTCTCCTGGCACGATACAGGCCCCAGCACAGTATGGCAAGAACTCGCAGAAGTCTTACCTTGTATTCCTGGCGAGCCTCTGGCTGTTCCTTCTTCAGACTCTGTGGACCTCTGCGGTGTGGTCAAGAAATTCCTGCTGATGGAAGAAAATTTGGTTTCTCTTTGAAGCTCCAAAGTCCTCATTTCAGTTTCATTTAGAGTCAAAGAAATTCATTCTCTGGCTTCCACGTTGATTTGATTTGTCCCTCAGATTATTTATAGCCTTCCAAAGTTTTTCTTTGAGGGATTGCTAAATCTAGAGTGGGTTGTTAAGATTTTGTAAGTCAATAGATTACACTTAGTAAGCCATTAACAGAATTTTATTGACTGTCTGCCATGTGCCAGGTGTTGTTACTAGATTCTGAAATAACGAGATCACTCAAAATTTGAATGAATCACCAAGGGAGAATAACAGAAACATTGTTTTACAGTCACGGTTCAAAATAGGGACAAAATAGCCAGACTGTCTATAGAAAAGTTGCTGGGAGCTGTGTCAAAGAGCTGGACGCTTCTCTGGACTTGGTCCCTCTGCCGAGTAGCTGGCCACTGAATAGGATCCCCGGCTTAGGCTGGGCATTGATGGGAGAGCGGATTAAAGCTGACAGAAGGTGCATGCTATTCCAGAAGCACGGCCAGACGTGTGGGCACCAAATGAAAGATGGCAGCTCTGCCACCAAGATATGCCTCTTTGGCAAAAGGATTACTTGGAGAACAGCAGACACAGATGGGTCTTGGCAAACAGGAAGCTACCCTTTTGTAAGGGAAACTTACTTCTCTATGCAGGAAGTCTCTTTTGGTGAGCCCACCTCCTGCTCTGTGTGAGGACGGGAGAGCTGATCACATTTAACCATCTCTTTGCAATGGGGAAGGTGCTGCTTTCTACAAAAGGAGTCGTAGTCTGGCTCCTTTTCTGTAGCACGGAAAGTCAGGTGTCTTTTAAATAGCCAGCTCTTTTAGATCATTCAAATATTTGTCCGGTTATTCAAAAATGTTTTTCACATCTTTTCAGGACTGATTCAACATGCTCTTGAGCTCCCAAGCTCCTTTGGTGGATGGTTTGACCAGTCAAAACTTTCTGGAGTCACCAAAGTTGTCCAGAACTTTTGATTTGAGTGGAGAGGGATGAGGGTCACTGGGTTGGGAGGGTTGATGGAAGAATGAGAAGAACACTGGGAGGCTTGGGGAAAACCCAGAGTTTGGTTTTGGAGATGTCAGTTCTATAGCTACATGGAGATGGTGAGTAGGTAAGTGAGGACAGAGCCAGAGAAGAGAATGGGGGCTATTGACCTACGTTCTGGAGCCTGTGATGGCTGAGTTCATGTGTGAGCATGCTTGGGTGAAGGGAGGCCCAGATAACCGGTAAACATTAGTGTTGAATGTCCTGTGATGAGGTTAGCATTCAGATTAGTAAACTGAATAAAGACCTTCCCTCACCAGTGTGGTCATGCATGGGACTGAGTAGAACAAGAAGGTGGAGAAAACATACTGTTGGCAAAGTAGGGCCCACTGCCTGATGGTATAGGTGCCAATCACCAGGCCATAGACTTGAAAAAGGAAATTGTGTAATGCCAGGTCACCTGGCAGAAGTCTGGAGGGAAACTCAAGTCAGTCTCCCTGAGGAGGGGCTCTGGGTGGTGTTTATGAGATAAAGGAATGCAGAAAATATTAAAACAATGTGAGTTAGTAGAATTAGCTTGGGTATTTTCTACTGAATCCTGGTGTATCTGAATTTGGCTTCAGAACTGCAACAAGACTTGAGTGCCCCTCACTGCTGAATGTTGTCCGTTAGCCACGAGCCATCCAGGTGTCTGGATGGACCCTGGATAATCTAGAAAACAGGTGCCGAGAAGTAGGGGC